TTCTCTTCAGATTTTAGTGGAAACTTTGTCAATACTAGAGATTTCTCCATTGGTTTTCCTTGGACAAGTGTCCTGGGATTGTTTCTTGTGCGTTTTGAGCAGTTATGAGGATAGATTGGGTGTAATTGAATGAGGGAGATCTACGAAAAGCTTATATTGAATAGATTGGATCAGGGAGTATTACAAGGACTAATTGACTCAGGTTTGATTATTATGTACCTCTTGGATTATTTTCCTTTTTATGTCTACCATAATGATTTTCGTGCTTTCTTTTTTCATGCACCATAATTAATCTCATTTCCATACACTTATGAAATAAGACAAGTGGCTCTTTCAAAACGTTTGCAAATGTCGAAGCCTTTCAGACCCAGCTAGATCAGGAGAAAGAGATGCCACTTAATATACAAGGAGAAGTTGAAAACCTTGGAACCCAATTCAGATACTTAGAGAAGAGCTCTGCAGTATCTAAAATCGATGAAGAGGTGATCTCTAGCTATCTTGCTTCTCACGCATTTGCGGAAGTCAAAGCGATGAGTCAGCAATGAGATCGTTGCTCAATGCTTTTGTTCGAGCCAATGTCCTACCTCTGGAGTGGAGAAAACTTGATCATCTTATTGATATGATGGAGCGCTTCCCAGAGGGAAACGGGGAGGATGACTCTTTTCATAGTTCAGAAAGGTGGAGGAATCCTTAAGAAAATAAGAAGACAAAAGGAAGAATTCCTCAAAGAACTTCCCAACACATCCAAATATGCAGAATTGATGATGGACAATCTTGAGCAGAAAGGCTTCGACAAATCTTGAGGATGGCAATAGCTAAAGGCTGCTTGGATCCATCCATTGACAATTTGTACAAAATGCAAAGATTCAAAGAAGATGATGAGGAATCTTATGATGATTAAGAATATATATGTATATATACTCTGTGTCATTGTTATTGAATTTTTTTATTTGTAATGTATGAATAGACACTTTTCGTGCCATTGTAGAATTTTAACCTACTAATTATGTGTTTTTTTTAGTCATTTTTCAGTCTCGTCTTCGTGCATTTGGTCATCGCCTTCCAGTGGTCTGGCCTTTCATGAGGCATAATAAGCAGATCTCGTCGCTATCTTTATGGGACACCCATTGAGACTCGCTCTAGAGGTAACCTTCACTCAATAAGTTGTTTTTATTGAGCAAAGGAGGGAGTCAACCCACTAAAGATGGACTTATGTGCGAATATTTGAATTTCATTCTTTCATGAATCCTTTGACACTTTGACACAAGTCTCACTAACTCCTGGGTTAGGCTATTGCATTCTCAAGGTCGGTCGTCGCCTAAGGTGGATCAGGCCTATCATGAGTGGTACTCAAGGGTTCTTATCATTGTCCTCATGGAGAACCCACCAAGGCTTGCCCTAGGGATGGCTCACTGCCTACTCATTGAGTCTTTTGTGCAAATGGGGGTTTTCGTTGCTTGGCCGTTGGGATCTCTTTTTCTGCTTTATTTGACGATCGCAAAGGGGCGTCTGATATCACCTGTATAGTAAAACAGGGCAAACAGGAACAATATCTTGTTTCAAAACTATTTACCTGGGGAGTTGGGTGTGTCCAGTAATGTTGAGAATAAATGCTTACTTCATTAGGTCATATCCAAATATTAGAAAAAGCTCAAAGTATAAGTTTTTTGACAAATTTTTCATATCAGGGTTAGAGAAGCAATTACGAGACATTTGTACGAATCACGTTTGCTGGGGCTATAAAAAGAAATTCGTCCTAGCCCCTCTCCAACTTTGGAGGCTTGCAACAAGTCCATATTATTTAATTGATTTTTTATTTCATTGATTGTTAAAAGAAAAGTGATGTCCAACTTGAGTGCAGATGCTCGAATCACATTTCCTACCCAAAACTTTTAAAAAAACTTTTAGCTTGTTGAATGTTGAATAAGGGGTTTCAATTCCTATTGAATTCATTTATTGCTTCTGGATTCTAACGTGGAATGAACCTCCATACTCAGGAGTGGAGAGAACTTTCTTCCCTCCAAAATAACTTAAGGATTATAGGTTATTAGGGGATCGGGTTCAGCTCACTCTTGAATTCCGACAGGGTGGTGCACCTCCTCTCTCTCTCTCTTATAGCTCGTACCTGAAGGTTGAAGAACACTCATATTAGACAGACTATATATCCCAATAATCCCTTGTATCTAAATAGTTCTGGAAGGCAGGTACTTTCCTTCCTCAACGAACAAAAAGTCAGAGAGAGGATGAGAGAATCTTGCCCTACAAAGTTGTTTATCCTTAACAAGCAGACATTTGAATTGAAAGAGGAGATGTGACCTACAAGATCAGACTTTCCTTTATAAGACTCCAATGTTTGAATCTCAAAATTCTTTGGCAGTTTCGCTTTTGAAATTTCACTTGAGAAAGGTTCTTTTGCAACCAAATATCCCCCATTTCTCCTTCTTTTTCCATCATTGAAGAGAAGCCTCTGTTTTCTTTGCGACCTTTCTTTTGAATCATCAGTGAGTGAATATGACAAGGATCTTCTCCGTCTTTTCCTAGGTTCTTTTGTCGACTCTGTTCTTAATTCCTCCTGATCTGAGAATTTTTCTTCATAATGACGTGCTCATATTTGCTCGAGTGTTGTAGTGAGTGTTCTCTTGACTCTCCCCCTTAACTGTTCCTGGGTTGACATACTTTCTCTGGGACGAGCTAGCCTCTCTAATGGTATTTTTCCCCGTTATTGTGCCTCAGCTTGACGTACTGCTTGTTGTGGTGTCTCAGAAGGCAACACTTCTGGATATTGTTCATCTGCTGCTCTTGGAGGTTTTTTTTTGTGCTACGATAGTTCTTCCATCTGGATGTTCTTCACGAATCACTGACCTGGACGATCCGTATGAGTTTTTGTTCTAGAACGAGTTCGGGATGCTTCATATAAGTCCGACGCGTCCTTCATCACTTAATTTTTCATTTCTTTTATTTATTGATTTACGTATTCTCTTGTTACATTCATCATTTTTTTCTACAATCTTGAAATGATGCAAAAGAGAATGTTATCTTCAGGATCTGAGTGTGATATACACACTCACTACACCTTTCAAAATATTAAAACGTGAGGTCCCGTAGATTCACAGTATCACATGATCTAGTATAAGGTCCTGAGAGCCTTCTGCTTGAGGAGGGAGATACGGAGAAAGGATTGTAGAAGAGCTCTCTAGGAAGTCCCCGGTGGTCCAAGAAGTAGTTCCGGAAGAGGATCTTCCCTCCTATGTTCCCCCCTTCTTTCATATATGAGGAGTTCTTTATTAAGCTAAGACTTCTGCTCGAGGGAATGACTAGAGATTGATGATGTGATAGTGTTATTCGTCTCGATTGATAGGTTTTGCCTCGAGAATTGTAAAAAAATATTTATTGTTGTTCAGATGTAGCTTCCAACTAGATTGCAGCACTTCAGATAACAGAAGTCCGAAGGTGAAGTGGTATTCTCGGTGAGCGAATATGTTTGGAAATTAGAAAAGAGGATAGACCGGTTCAATCTGTTCGAGTGATCGGGGATTCGGTTCTTCATATAAGAAGACGCAAGTGTGTGACCCGCTATTTAAGTGTACCATACACACACGCGCACCCCCATGCCTAAAAATGGCTTGCATTAGTCTTGAGACAATATGATGGTCCAAATCAAAAAGGACATTTCTCTGAGTGAAAAGTTAAGTAATCATAAGGCCACCAGGCCGAAGAACAATCAACCGAACGTATGACTGACAACCAACGAAAGTGTCAGTCTATCCCATCAAAATCAAACAATCTCTTCAACAATCGAACAAAGGTATAATAATCCCATAAATCTCACAAATATCAACATGAGGATCTTAACAATTCTTACAAAGATCACCGCAAAACAAGCAAGCCAACTGGCCACACCAAGTCTGACCGACTACTACTCTAGAAGCCAACTGAGTAAAGACCAACCCATATCTAGGCAGAAAAGCCAACCAACGCCAACTCGATAGACCGACTCAAGGACCTACCGAACGGAAAGTTCAGGAACATTAAAAGATGAAAAAATGTGTTACAAATATAAAAAGACAAAATAGACAATAATGTCCTGCAACCCCCTCATTAAAGCAGGGGTATATATGTAATATTTCTCTTTATGACCCTTTATCTCTTATAAATAGGGGCTCAACACATGTTAAAAGGGAAGTTGGGATCTTCTCACAAAGATCACTGCAGAACAAGCAGGCCGACTGGCCACACCAGGACTGGCCAACTACTACTCTCGAAGCCAACTGGATTCTCAACCAATCGACACAAGCAGGATAGACCGACTCAAGGACCTACTGGCCATAAAGTCCAGGAACATTAAGAGAGGACAAAATATGTTACCAATATAAAAAGACACGATAGACAATAAAATCTTGCATCATCCTTTATTAAAGCAGTGATATATATGCAATCTTTTACTTTATGACCCTATATCTTCTATAAATAGAGGTTCAACATATTTTAAAAGGGCTTTTGAGATCTTCTCTTTAGATCTATACTTTGTAAGGAGATCTCTCTTTTTTCTTTTATAGCCCTTCAACTATAAAGTATAAAATGGGTCACAAAGCTCGGAAATACCCTAATTCGCCTCTACGGGACAAGTTTGTGTGCTCTTTTATTTCTCTTTCTCCCTCTCTCTATTTCTCCCTCTGGATTCTTACCACTCTGTTCATTGGGCATGACTCACAAGACAAATTTGGATTCAACCATCTCTATGTAATATTTTCACTAAGTTTTAGTATGCAAAAAACACTGATGCAATCAAACCATAAGTTTTCCACTTTGTAATTCAATATGTCTTTACTAATATATATATATATATTTTTTCCATCTAGAAATTTTTACATAAATTTGCATTTTTTTTTCCATCTAGAAATTTTTACATAAATTTGCATGATTTTCTAGTCTTTTTTTTTATACATCACTTCAATTTTATAACAGATGATGGTGGGAATTCAAGAACAGATACAAATAACTCACTTTAGAACAAGAGATCACTGAATTTATGTTCCCTGCAATATTACAGAAACCTGTTACATTCAATATGAACAAGTTTTGCGCTCCCCTCTCATTGTAAGACCATAAAACATAGAAACTAAAAGAGAGTACTAATTCAAACTTTAGATACAGCTGGAGCAGAAGAATTCTCTGTGATAACCTGCTCAAATAAATCTCTAATCTTTAAACCAACGATTGTTTGAAATAAACCTGTACCATTGTTACTTCCTGGAAAGTCTGAATGCTTCAGCATTTGCTGCGTTACCTCTCCATAAAACTTGGTCGATAAACTGCTGAGATGACTTTCAACATAAATGAGCTCGTCCAATCTATCAAATTGGCCATCCATTTCAAGCACTGAAACCTGAAATTCAAATAGAAAAAAGCTAAATTTGCAACAGAAACACTGAAACAAATATCTTCAGAAATTTAAATCATGAATCTGGTACCTCATGATCAAAGTAGGTGTCAGGTCCATAGAAGAACTTGATGCCAGGATAGGAGCAGGTGAGTTTTCTTCCACAGGGTATCCATGAAACGGTGGAGCCTTCATCAAAGAGGTAGACTGGGCTGAAGTGCTTAACACCTTCTTTCATCACCAACTTCACCCTCAGAATCTTTCCTTCATTGTCATCAGGGATCAGTTGGGTTGGCAAGACCTCAATCACGCAGTCGGCGTATTGCTTTTGTGGATCTGATAATGTCAAGAGATTCATTGTTTGAGTTGTAAAGTGCCAATCATGTAATTTAGCATTAGTCAGTTCTGTACTTCACCATCTTTTTACAGATTAAGCCTATAATTCTTCATTTATTACTATTTTTAAGTAAAGTGTTGTTACTAAGATTTACTCGAGAGTGTTTAATTTAGTCTCACAGGACATAATCACAAGATATGTTGGTGAATAACATACCAATATAAGCATTAAAATCTGGTTTCCGAGCTTCAATGCTTGCTTTAATGCTTTCAAGGCTATGTCCACGCTCTGCCATGTCTCTCTGCAACACAATTTAAAGAGGAATAATGGATAGAAGAGCTCTTTAAATGCAAACAATTTATATGGGAGATGACTGAATGAGTCAAATGAGGAAGAGATAGTAACCGACCTGAATTTTCCATGCAAATTTGACCTCATTGCTAATATCCAAGTAAATACTGAAATCCAATAGTTCTCTCACACGAGCATCATACCTAAATATCAAGTTATATGATAAAATTTTGAAATATTGGGGAATTTCATCATTGTTGGATATGTAATATATGAATGTTCATAAAAAATTAGTGGGGAGAGAGAGATTGGAACAAAGTATTATAAATTTACTTTTATAATGGAAAGAGTTAAATTCTACCACCTAAAAGATGAATGAAAGAGAAGAAAGACATTTGGTGAATGAAGATCTTGGAATATAATATCTAAGGGTAGCTGCAAGGGAGAATATCATGTGCGGAATCTGGATGCATTCGGACTTCATGTACAATATTGTTGTACGTTGTGTACAATAGTGTACAACATTATGGCACACGAAGTTTGAATCCAGACTACATATGTAATATTTTTTTCTTGATTGATGCAATTTGAGGTTGCAGACGAGCAAAGTCAAGCAAATGGCTCGTGTTTGATTGATAAATCAAGGTTACACTTTAATTTTATGAATTTGAGTTGGCTCATAACTCATTATTATAAAAGAGAATATATAAAAATAGTTATGAAAATGTACTCATAATAGTACCCAAAAAATATATAGAAGATATGATAACAAATCAACTGAGAAAAGGAAGAAATCTAAAAATTATATTTTATTTTTTAACTTTGTGTTTCAATGCAAATATATTTTATTGAAATTCTTAAAAGAGTAAGCTCAAGAGCTAAAAATCAAGTTGGATTCAACTCGAACTTGGCTCTTCAACTCATCGAGTTCAACTTGACGTTTTTGCACCCCTCAGTGAGAGCTGATGTGAGGGTGGCACGAGCTCAATTATTTAGTTTTTAGTAGTAAAAAATGATACCATCCCTCTTCTAAATAATAAAATTATTTTTTTGCCTCTTTACTAGGAAAACTCTCTGCCTCCACCACTTTCATTGATTAGTGTTTTTGAAAATAGCCACACTTAAGTCTTCTTTTCATCTAGCAAGCAACATGCAAATCAAAGATACATCAATAAATGGTAAGAAAATAAAAATAAAAGGCTATTCACATGCATAACATTCAATTCCTTTGTATTTACATGTCTAATGCCTACAATTTGCTTTTTACAAGTGCACCATAATTTTTTTAATGTCGCATAAAAAATACCATTATTTAAATTTTGAAAAAGTGAAATATGCTTTTTCATGTATAGATAAAGTGGCAAATACATAAAAATTGATTTTTTAAGTATTAGCTATGTAAATACATAGGAATCGAGTAGTAAATCTTCCGAAATAAAAATCATCAATGGATATGATTTCCAAAGGCCCTTTTTTTCCCTCTTCCCCTTCTTCTTCCCCTCAAACAATTCTAATCAAAACCATCATTCATTTCAGATAGAATTCCTACTCTAAAAATCTGAGTTTGCAGTAAGAATTACATAACTGGATGCCCTGAACTTGTATAGATAAATTAAAAAAAAAGTTAAATAAAGCTGCAAATTCATAAAAAAACAAAGAAAAACTCACATTGGATGCAAACCTTCAATAACTAAGATCTTGGGAGGCCTGATAAGCTCAGGAGGATCAAGCAGACCACTAACATGATTATAAATAGGTTTCTCCACAGCTTTCCCTTCCTTCAAATCCTTAACTTGCTGATACATAAGATCAAAATCATTGGCTCTGGGATCCAAAGCTGTCACCCCTTTCTCCTTCCTCCCTGTTCTATCCAAAGAATGGTAGTCATCAAGGCAAATTACAGTGGTAGTGCTGCTTATCAGGGTATTAGAATCTGGATTCCCTCCCTTTGGCGGCTCAGCTGCTCCTCCAAAAACGCTGGTGAGTCTCCTCATGAAAGTGCTCTTTCCGCAGCCTGAATCAGCAGCAAGGCCGATTACTACTGTGTTGGTTTCTGAAGAGCATGAGATTTTTCCTGTTATTATTCTTCTGTTGGGTCTGTGAGTGGAGAAGATGAAGTGGTGATGGGAAGGAGAGGTGTAGGCTGTGCAAACTGCCATTTTTATGGCTGTTTATGGATGAAGAGAGGGAGAGAGGGAGCAGAAAAGTGTTTGCTTTTGCTCTCTCCCGCTTCTTCTTCCTCCTCTTCTTCTTCAACTTTTGTTTCTGTTCTTTGAACTGAAGCAGAGGTAACGAGTTGGGACTGGGAGGAGTTGGGAATTGATTTTGCTCTCTTCTTCTTTTAATTATATATAATTATATAATTATATATATTATTTTATATTGAACAGATTTATTCATAAGTATTAAAAGTTAGCACTTAGTGAGCTTGAAATTATTAAGTAGATCTCCTCTAGGACCAGCGGGGGCAAGCTTGCAATATATTGATTTATCAAGTATTTGATGAGGAATCATTAGTCATGTATAAATAATTTAATTTTAAAAAAAATTGGATTTTTCATGGTTTGAGCTTTTTGTGGGTGAGAATGTAATTATGGTGAAGAAAAAGCATGGCTGCTATGCCATCGTTCAGGATATGGTGATGACACGTGGCATGTTGGTAATGGTTGGTTGAAGATGAGGGAATGAAGGGCTGGGAGAAAAGGAGAGAGGATAGGGTACTTGGTAATATGTGAATGTGGTGATATTAGAATATAAGCTCTTTTTAAAGAAGAATTATTCCCTCAGTACTACGCACCGTAAGGACGATATTAGAATATAAGCTCTTTTTAAAGGCTAAAAATTTGCATAAGAAAGAAAGTAAAATATTGTTTATGGTGACCAAACATGACTACATGGAGAGAGCATGTTGAATAAATATTGAAAATTATAAATTCATTTTCAAACTCTATGGTGATGAATTGGAATTGATGGGAGTTGATTTTAATTTTGATTCAGTAAGGATTGTAATCAAATTGAGTCCACCAACTGACTATGTCTTGGATGGACTTGTGTTGGCTTTATTATAAATTGTTCATAGGCTTGAACTCGAGATTTGATTTCTCATATATGTTCATAAATATATTTGATTAAATTTTTTTAAAAGGTGGATTTGATTTGTACTTGATTAATTTATATTAATTGAACAAGTATTTTCAATGTTAAATAAATAAGCTAAAATTTTGAATGATTAAACGTTGAGATGCCATCATTCAGCCTGAATTTTGAAGGTCAAGATGAAGTGAGTCTTGGTGTTACGAAACGATTAACAAATAATTTTATAAATGGAAAAAAAAATTGAATATTTTTAAATTAATACTAACCAATTTAGAATAATTAAGTAAGATAATAATAAGCTACAAGTTAATTTTATTGCAATAAAAGAATATAGATAAAAACAAACATGATCGTGATAATTTTTTTAAGCACTAAAGAGCGTCAAAATTTTAAGATTTATGTGTTGGAAAAATGTATCTTTTTTTATAATGTTACCATGAATAATGTTTATAAATTCAAATGATAGAATTTGATGAGTAGATGGCCTTCTGGGATGTGCATATTGATTTTAATGAAATCCTTAGCTTTCTCACTTGGCAAAGCCTCAAGTCCAATTGAAGGATATATGTAATCAATATTGTTGTTTTGCATGTTATATTTAGTTTTTTGTGTGTAACTTGAATTTCAAGTAGTTATAAAAACTTAAAATTTAAAGTAGTAAATTATACATATATATATATATATAAATGATTAAATAGGACTTGCACATAACAAATTTATTAATAAATGAATAATATAACAAACTAAAAATGACTAAATTCATCATAAGTACTAGTAGTGCTTAATGAATTAGTATTCTTGAGACAAACATATGTATAGTTTATTGAAATATGTTTTAGTTAGCTGATATGTTATAAATTTGACATTATTATCATTCTAACAAAATAAAAATGATTAATATCAAATGAAAACAACACAAGTTTGCAATGATCCTATCGCAGAGAAGTTTCTTAGTAGCATGAGTCACAGTGAGGAAGAAGCATCCAATCAAATTATCTTTTATTTACTTAAAAAAAGTGAAGATAAAAAATTGAGGCTAATTATTATAACAAAAATAGGTAGGCCATATTAATAATGGAAGTGGCTATCAAAATTAGACTAATTACGTTATATTCAATAGAGAAAATATTATTGCAAATATTTAACTGATGTTTGATAAATTTTTATGGTAATGGACTAATTAAAAATTTTGAAAATTGTAATCACAACTAGGGCTGTAAATGAGTCGAGCTTGAGCGAGCTGAGGCTTGACTCTTGTTCGGCTCGTTCGAAATAGCTCGTGTTCGTGTTTGGCTACTCATAAAAATTAATTAGAAAAAAATAGATGTAAAGTGTGGGATTCAAACATGCACCAAGAACTAAATGCATACAAAAGAAGGTATTTACCACATTACCACACGAGATGTTTAATTTAAACTTAGATATAAATATATATAATATATTATTATATAAATAATTATATAATTTTTGCAATCTGGGGACAACATGTTTGCTTGGGATTTCCAAACAGATGAGTCTGGTAGGTTAACAAGCATATTTTGGAGTGATGGATTGTGTAGGCTGGATTATGATTGTTTCGGGGATGTCATGATTTTTGATACAAGCTACAGATTAAATAAATATAACTTATGTTGCGCTCCATTTGGGGGGGTTTA